CGTAGAAATTATTGCGGCATAATTTTTACCTGAATTTTGACATGCGGCAATGCCTAAATCTAAAATTCATGCCGCAATTTATGATCAATGCCGCAACTTATGACCAATGCCTAAAATCATAACTAATGCCATAAATGCTGATATAGTGCCGAAAGTAAAAAGTATAATTAATATAAGGCTGAAAGTAATATATAAAAAATAAACAAAAAAAAAGTATATTTATTATTATAAGACAATTTGCGGTAATTAATTTAGATTATGGCATATGTTTGTTTCGGATTGCAGCATAAATTATGCCTAAATACTTTCGGCGCAGCCGAAACTAATTTCTACGGCATGTATAGATGAGATGATGATGTAATAAAGGATCAATGTAGAAAATGCAAAATGGTATAATTGAGAAGTTGGAATAAAATCTGCATTCATAACAAAAATATAACCCTTATGATTCCAATATTTCGAAGTTGGTAAATTGGATATTTTAAATAATGAAATTTGTGTTAATTATAGAAACACGATTAAAAAGATAGATATTTTTGTCCATTCGGAAATAATCGATGAAAGTGTAGATTGGTAAGTTATCTAGGAACGATAAACAAGCGTTAAAAAAGGTATAATTTATATGTTTTTTTTAAAAAAAAAAGAGGAGATTAACATACATCACAACAGAAACAGGTCCAGGCCAAGCAGCTAATTATTGTTCAAAACGTCCTAATCGATTGACGGAAAATTGAGAAATAAGAGTCACATCATGATTGAAAAAATGTAATTTTGATTTGTGATGGTGAATTAATTCTTGCATATTATTTTCATCTGTTTTTAAATATATTAGATCATGAAAATCCAAATTCCTTAAAATTTACTGAATTCTATATAAAATAGTACATGACGTTAAACCCATTTATAACCGAAATTGAAACTATCAAACCTGAAATATTTAAGCGTGCTACCAAATTACAAATTCTTGACCCGCTCAATTCGTAAAACCTATAGGAATCAATAAACATTTATCGTCTCGAGTGACCAATCTAATGACTGGACTCGTATAAACTTGTGACTCGAGAATTAAGCCAAGAAGAGTGTTCGAATCATTCGATTGAATTGCTTAGTTGAGTTTTGTTCGAGTAATTTGAGTCATAGCAATTAGTTTATTGATAAATTTTATAAATTGCAAGTTACAGAAACAAATTACTTCAAATAGCGAGTTACATGAAGCAAATATAATTCATTTTTGTATGTTAAAAGAACAAGTATAGTGTTATAAAACAAACATATCAATTGCAAGTTACGAATGCAATAAACTGATTCATAATTATATCTCTAGATCGGCTAGAACTATCTTTAAATATTCTGTGCTTACGGAAGAGATGGTTAATTTAAAATTGAAGTCCATCATTATACGAGTACCATTTTCTTCCCGTCATCTATTATAATTTTACAAGTGGAAGTTATACCCTCCTTTTGAAAATATTCCCAGACGAAACTTGGAGTAGGTCTATTTTCAGACATATGGGTAGTTGTGTTTTGACATTCTCTTTATTACAATATTTCTCCTGTTCATTAGTGTTTTTGTTTTGCTCTATATTTATATTATGAAATTACTTTCAAGTCTTTTAAACTTTATTTTTATTAAATATTTGCAACTACAATAAATCACGTACATGGTTTATTTAAGTTTTAAAGAATTATATAAAATTAAATAAAAATACGACATTATTTATGTAGCTTAGGGACTTCCAGAAATTACGTAATATTTTGTTATTAATAAATTTCAAAATTTCATTCCCACCCACCACACCTGATACTTTATTAGCCAATCAAATTATATAAAAATTTTAAATAGTATTAATTAATAAAAATTTTTAAATTTATATAACTTTTGATCTATTGAACCAATTTGAATGATTTAACTACCAAATGATCCTCTTAAAGAAATGATTCCAACAAGCCTAAAATCATTAAAATCTACTTACAGAATCACAAGAAAGATAATTTTTTGTATTATTTAAATATATATAAAATAACACAAAATATTGTCTATTTTGTGATTCTGTAATTAAATTTTAATAATTTTGGTTTTGTTAAAATTCTCTTATTGGTTTTTTTTTTCAAAAGAGGTCTTTTTTTTATTCTCTTTATTAAAAATATAATTTAATTAATATTTCGAATTGGTGCCTGTTGATTACATTAACCTGGTTTTTATATTTTTTCTTATATCAACTTTAGAATTTTATAATATAGTTTTATAGCTAAATTGGTATTGAGTTTTTGGGTTGCAAAAGATTCTAGTAAACTGTTGCAGATGATGTCTAGAGGAATTTGTTGGGCATAGTGTGTTTTAATGAAGCTTTTAGTAAACTGGTCAAAACATGGTGCTATTACTGTATATTTTCTGTAAATCTTGTTGATGACTTGAGTAATGATTTTTTTTAGTAAGATCTGGTTGCTGAGACAGGATATTAGATGTGAGATGTTTTTGATTTGGTTAGCAAATTTTGTACAAAAAGAATTCAAATAGTTTTTTAGATCTTGTAGAATATTACAAAATGAGTAGATAATTCGTTAGTTATTAATTTTGGTTTGAAGGCTTTTAATTTTGCATGTTTAGGGTTAGTATATCTTTGAAATGATTTGTTTTTAAAGTTAATCTGGTTGAATGTTAGCCTCCAATTGATATTAGAATTATGTTAATTTAAACAGATAATTTTTTCTTAATAAAGCCAGTTTGATCAGGCTTGTACTTGTAAAAGAATTTTAGTAAGTCAATATAATAAATAAGTACTAGATATATTGACTAAATTTGTATGAAGAATAATTATATAATAGGGCTAGAATTAAGATTGATTTTGAGTTCCAACAGTAGTATATAAGTTTTGAAAAGTTTTTCATTAGAAAAATTAAATATTATAGTTATTTTTTTGGCTACCACAATAGCATCTATTATTTGTTTGAGCCAGTTGAAGTTGTCTTTTTGCTGTTTATGCTGGCTATAGATTTCCTTAATGATAAATTAAAATAGCAAAGTAAAATTTGTGCTAATATTGATAACAGCATTGGGTGGACTTATTGTTAGTATTAGTGCAATGATAGTAAGTGTTGAGTAAATTGGTAAGTGCAATTTGTATTGGATTCATGAAGGTAGCATACACAGTTGGGTTATTTTTATATAAAGAGGACTTGAATATATGAACCTGAATCTTTTTGTTAAGGTATATTTGTGTAAACATAGACCATACTTTGGGCTGTTGTTAGTAAATATTTGTAAAAACTGATGAACTATTCTATAATTTGGTATAGGTAAACTGGTAAGTATTGGGATTGGGAGTGTATTTGCTTGAGTGATTTTGGTGAAGAGACTTAGTAAGTAAGTGTGAATTTGGTATTTTTTATTGATCTAGATTTGGTATAGCTGATTTGTTGAAAAATAAATGTATATTTTGCTTTGCATAAGTTTTTTTAATTTGAACACAGTTTGTATAGTGTTTTAGAGTTTGTGATATGTGGTCCAAAGTATAATATTGTATTGTTATAATATTGTTTTGAATACTAGATATTTTGCCTATAGATTTAGCAGTAGTAATAATCTAAGTATTTTTTCATGATAAGACTTTTTTATTGAAAAATGAGTTAGGATATATTAAATTAATTAAAGGGTTGGAGTTGTTTTCTATTAGGGTTTGAATTATTTGGAATCATTTAGATATTTTTCTGTGGGAAATTTTACTTATATTGTGGTGGAATTGTTTTTATTCTAGTAGTTAATTGTTGTAAATATTTAGAAATTATTTAATATAGTCTATGCTATGTTTGTTTAAGAATATTTTAATTGTATGTGGTTATTGAAGCTGGCTAACCATATTGTTGATTGAGATGCTATTTGTTTCATGAGATATGGGCCAACTATTTGCTTTGCGTGTAAGGCTAATTTGTAATATATATAAAGTAAGAATTGCTTGAGCTGTGTGGGTCTTATTTTGTTACTTAGAAACACTAGGGGTTTCTTTAAGATTGATTTTTTGGTATGTGCTACATTTTGTAGCTGTTGAAGTTTAATTTTAAGAAAGGGTTTTTTGAAGTTTGGAAAGTTTAATACTTGATCAAGGGTTTAGATATACTGTTGTTGTTATATCTGCTTTAGTATCTTGAGTGCATAGATATCAGAGTGGTAGATTGTAGAGTTGGGTACTAATCTTGCTAGTCTAACCTTGTGTTTTACTAGGCTTGTATATCTGTTAGTAGTTTGGGTTATTTGTATATTGTTAAGATAAGTGTATTGGAGTTAATAAGTTGTGCAAGCAAGTAAGACATTGTTTACAATATAGATATCTTGTTTTGGTATAATTTTTGAATATCTTAGTTGTTGATGCTATTGTTTATCTCTCTTATAATGTGTTTCTGTATAGCTTTGTGTGTAGAGTTTCAGGAAAACCAAGTTTCAAAGTATCTAAAAATTGTTTTGGGTGAGATGTTGTGTATTGAGTCATCAAAAAAATTAATTAAGAATGCTTTACAGTCGTTGTTGGTAATTAAGATAGATTTATTGAGATTGACTTTGATATTTGCATATTTCAGAAAATAGCTAGTTATATTAAAAATTTGTTACAGTTGGGGTTTGGTAGTGGCTATCTATATAGTATTATCTATAAAGGCTATTATCAATATATTATGTATTGTTTTGCCCTAGGGATATAGTTTTTAATGTATATCCAGGAATTTGCTTGCTAACTTTTGAAATGAGCAAATATAATAAATATGCTATAAAATAGAAGAGATTGTCTCTTCTTGATCGATACTATCCTCAATTTGGTACAAGGAGGTAAGTCTATAGTCTGTTATAACTTTATTCTGATGTTAGAAAAAAATAAAGAATAGAAGATTAGCAATATATAGTGGTATTTTTATCTATTTGAAGGCCAGTACAAGATTAGATATGTGAACTATATCATAGACCTTTGACATGTCTTGGGCCAGAATCCAATAAGTTTTATTATTAATATTGCTATTTTCTAGTATATATAGTATAATATGGTAAGTACAGGGTTGAGTATAGAGATATAAAATAATACTATATTGTTGTGGAAAGAGAGAATGTTATATTTGAGTAGTATATTGCTAAGACACTAGGTAAGTATTTTGGTAAAGATCTTGCATGCATGTTCAATTAGCATAATAGGTTGGGTTGTGTTTAGATTATTGTTGTAAATAGGTTTCTTCAGAATAGGCTAAACCTTTGCTTGTGACCAAGCTGTAAGTATAGTTTGTAGAAAGAGACAAGCAATGAGGATGCATAGAAATGTTAAGTTGCTGGTTGGGTCTAATATTGTTAGCCAAAATTGGTTTATGCTTGTAGAAATATTTCGATATTTGATATTTAGTTTGCCAAAATATCTAAATATTGCCGAAATCCTAAATTATGCTGAAATGTCTAAATAATATTAAAATATCTAAATAATATCGAAATGTCTAAATTAAGAAATATATATAAAAAAACATAAGTTATTAATCAGTTCTAACTAAAACCGCCGGTTCTGTGGTCCTTCTTAGAACTGGGCCAATCTGGTTTTTTATGGCCAGACAGACCAAAAAGACTATCGATCTGAATATAGTAGCTTTAAATTATTGTAATGAACATGTGTAGCCTAATTTTTTGTGTATGCAAGGTTAATTTTTTTAATACTGTTGTATCTAAATATTATAAAGCTGTTATGGTAATTGTTAAAATACTGTAATGCTG